TGCTGATTTGAGTGAAGGTGGAGAGGGTATGAGCGCCGTGTGAGGGGGAATCACCTCACCCCACCCCACCCCACCCCAAAACATTAGGTTAACTAGCATAAAACTCAAACCTAACTGACTTGAACGTTCCTAACTCGAACCCGACTCGTTTGACCCGTTTACTATAAAGATCCTGTAGCATTTTTAGCTCAGTATGGCCTGTTAACTCAAACATGACCCGTTTAACCCAAAAATTACTTGTTTAAGCTAGACGAAAATGATAATTGGGTTTATTTCGAGTTAATTCTACATTTTTGGTCTAACCTAAATGTGAATTAAAAATTGATTGGGTTATGATTTTAGTATTGAACCTGACCTAAGTAATGATTGGGTCAATCAGAACATGGATTTTTTTATTCGGGTTTAAATTGTTGGGTTGAGTCATTTATTAGCACCCATATTCTTCGGGTTACAAGATTTTTGCCTACAATGATACAATATCTAGAAGGTGATTTTGATGGGGACATCGGCAGCGATTTCGACACATGTACCTTCAGGAGATGCCGGAGATCGACGGCCACGATCATGATCTGTATTTTCATCATTTTATGTAGTAGTTTATTTTTATTTTATGTTTTTCCGTTTTTTCCCTTATAGGTATTTGGTAGCTATTGTAGCCCAAGGGGCATTTTAGTCTTTTGTTTTTCTTTGTCATTGTGAGGCCTATTTATATGGCCCTTCTCTTGTAATAGTTAGTTTTGGAAAAATGAAAATTTTATTTTGATGATTCTCTTTGTGAGTTCATGAAGCCTCTAAAGATCTCTTTGTGAGTTCTTGAAGAGGAGTTCGCCGGAGATCTCTTTGTGAGTTCTACCGGTGGCGTGGTGCAAGCCACCAGACTCCTGCACAAGAGCTCCTCGTTCCAGCTGTCCCAGATATCCAATTTGCTGGTCTTCCCCTTCTCAGCTTGCTGCCAAGAAGAACCAACCCAGTTTTCTCACTGCTCTGTGGCCTGAAGTCACCCCGGTTGCTGTCCCGAAGCCCTCCAAGGGCTATTACAGGTTTTCTGCCATTACAAATGCTGTCCAGTGAATTGGAGAGATCACCATTGCAGCCCACTGTCCACTAGTATTAAATTCAGCAAGCATAATTGTCCGGGATGACGTCGTAGTTGCTGTCCAACAATTCTGCAGGATTCCTTGCACCACACCCTCACCCGGGAGGCCCCAATCGCTGTCCAGAATTCCATACTCCGGCCACCCATCCAAGAACGACGATCTTAGGTTCCTTCTTCCTCGGAGTGACCTCGGTTCTAATGTGGAGACTCTTCTTCCGCTAAAGCCTAGACTAGTTGAGCGTATGGACTCCAAAGGTGAAACTTCTCATTATTAAATCGTGGACTTGTTTATTGTTGTAGTTTTACAATTATTCTTTGTGTATTCTTGAATTGTTTGGTTGATTGATTGCGCTCTTCTTTGCCTAAGCAAGTTAAAAACTGAGAACTCCAAGAATCAATCTTTTGCTATAAGTGATAATTTTATTTTGGATTATTTTGTTAAAATTGCTCTCTTTAATTTCTTAAAGTAACTCCATCGCATGTACGTTTCACATCAGATTTCCTATGTTCAATAGACCCAACATAATCTTAATGCGGTAAGGAGAAGAATGTGCACATCCAAAGCAAAGTTTCATTCAACATATGCTTTTTACAGCCCTCAAATAACACCATTTATAAGCCTTGCGAGGCTCTAACATGACTAAAAAAACTACCATATAATGCAACCATTGCTAGATGATTGAGCCAAACCCAAGAAACTCTGATTGATTGACTTGACTCTTGTTACGATTTTGCAAGAAGTCATTCTTGCATGTAGGAGCAATAGGTGCCACTTAGTATATAGTTGCAAAAGTAAAAAATTCAAGAAAAGAAAGAAACACTAGTTGCTCTAGGTGAAGCCAAAAAAATTGGAATATAAACAACCATAAATAAGGTATCCAACAAAAAGGTCAAACTACCTGCATGAAACATAGGAGTGGGCCAATGTGGTAGGAGTGAAAACAACAACAAAATACTAAAAATAAATAAAACACTAGCCTAATGCTTAGGTTAATCTCCTCGGAGGGAAGGGGCTAGAGCTTTAGCTGTTAAAAAAACATAAAACTTCGACTAGAAATCAAATTGACTCGATTTCAATTTATGGATTCTAAATAGATCGAGTCAATTTTATTTTGTCACATTTTGCTCAAATAGAGATCAAATTGACTTGAAATGGAGCTCAAAATGAGTATTTACATGAATATATAATTTATAATATATGCATAATATTATTACAATTAATTAAAAATTAATTTGAGTTGAGTCAACGGATTTTGAGTCGACTTGAAATATCAAAAATTTTGATTTCACATGACGAACTGATTGATCTCATCTTGATATCAATCATATAGAGGAGAGGAAATTGCAAAAGAATTGCTAGCAAGGGGAGCTACAATTCAGCATTCAACTAACACATCAATTCTTTATGTTTCCTTTGAATGTATATTACATAGCATGATCGAGCCTACTTTGCAAGAATGGCATATCATTGACTTTAAAATTTTTACAAAGATTATGGAAAAGGAATATAAGTCAAATGTTTTTTCTCCATCTTTAACTTAAGTTACTATAATTAACAATGCTATTGCGAGATCTTAAGTTCTGGATGAGAAAAGTGGAGAGTTGCGTTAGGTAGTTGACAACTAGCATAAAAGTTGTCGAATAATCATGACATCAATCCTTTAATACATTGTGTTAATGCTAGGACATTCCCTGGAAGCGACGCACTGTATGGCCTGAATACAGTTAGAAGTGTCCAAGGGCTGCTACATCGACGCCTAGATGCATTGTTAGATAAGCAAGGTTCTCACATCATGGACGGATGTGGGCAAAGAAGCTAGCCTATGAAACAAAAATTAGGTTAGTATTTTGGAATGTAGGTTCCCTTACAGGCAAATTAATGTAATTACTGTATATTATGATTCATAGAAAGGTAAATATTTTATGCATTCTGGAAATTAAATGGGTGGGAGGGACGCCTAAGGAGATTGATAGTTTTGGGTTTGAAGGTATTCTGGTAGGAGTAGTACTAGAAATGATGTATGTGTGATTATAGATAAGAGTTTGAAATATGATGTTGTAAAAATTGATAGAATTGGAGATAAAAATATAACTTTGAAGATTATTGTTGATGATAAGATTATTAATATTATAAGAACTTATGCTCCACAAGTAGGTTTGTATATGTGTTCAAAATTAAAATTTTGGAATGATTTAGGAGAATTAATACAAAAGATATTTCTTGAAGAAAGAGTTTTTATTGGGGAAAATTTAAATGGACATGTTGGTAGAGAGGTAGAGGATTTTAAAAATATTCATGGTAGTTATGAGTTTGGAGCGATTAATGAAGGTGATAAATTATATTAGATTTTGCTCTAGCTCATGATTTTGTAATTGCTAACAATTTATTTAAAAAAAAGAGAAGAGCATCTCATCACTTATAAGAATGGTTATAATAAAACTCAGATTGATTATTTTTTTGTAAGAAAAATATATCGTTTAGATTACAAAGATTGTAAAATTATTTCTAGTGAAAGTCTATGCACCCAACATCTCTTATTAGTTTTGGACTTTAAAATGAAGGGGTAGAATATGGCAAATATAGTATATCATTGTTCTAGGATTACACGGTGGCATTTAAAGAATTCTAACAAAAACATCTTCGCGAGTAAGATTCGCGATCTTAAGATTTTGTCAGTGCATGAGGAAACTAATGTTATGTGGGAAATAGTAGATTATATTATTAAGAATGTTGCAAATGATGTGTTTAGAGTATCAAAAGAAAAAACTTCTAATAATAAAAATAGTTGGTGGTAGAATCAAAATGTGCAAGTAAAGATAAAAAATAAGAAGCTTTTTTATAAAAATTGATTTAGATGTGAAATCTCTGAAAATTTGGAAAGATATAAAGTTGCCCATAAGGAATCTAAGAAAACAATTTGGTTTTCAAGGACTTTAACTTTTAATGATTTATATAATATATTAAATACTAAAGAGGGCGAAAGATATATATATATATATAGTTAGCCAAACAAAGAGATATGATTAGTAAGGATTTAGTTCAAGTAAAGTACATTAAGGATGAAGATAAAAAATTACTTTTTTTAAAAGAGGATAGTCAACAAAGGTGATGAGATATTTTGCTAAGCCTTTTAATGAAAATTGTGAAAATGTGATTAACTTTAGTGACCTTAGCACTTTAAATGAAAATAGAGATTTTTGTTTTATTGGCGTATTACTAAAATTGCAGTTAGAGAGAATTCGACTCTTAACATGATACAATGGAGAAAAATGATTCATGTAGCCGACCCCATGTAGTGGGATAAAAGCTTGATGTTGTTTGTTGTATCTTAAAATTACTACAATTATTGTATTATTTTTCACTAAAGTATTTTAGCTTTGATGTTCTATTATTATTTTCTCTATTACCTAAAATCCAATTAAAGCATTTTTTCTGCGGAAAATGTTTTACAATACAGATGAAAAAATTGATTCTTTCTTGGTAAATTTGAAGCTGCGCCCAAGTCCATCTGTGTTTCTTCCATCACCAGCTGATGATTGTTAGATGAGAATGTTGTTTCTCCTTTTTTGTTACATTGAAACAGCTGGGAAAAGAAAGGGAAATGCATGATAATGGTTTACATATTGCTTGATGCTTGCAAGTGATTTGGATGCGAAGATAGAAATCTAAATCCATTCATTTATTTAGGTATTTTCTGAAATTTAGTGAAACACTGGCCAATGGGTTGTAAGTTGTTGATCCTGTAATGGTTTACATGGTGCTTGATGCTTGCAAGTTTTATTTCACTCTCTGGAATAGCATTATGATTGCATATGACAATTTGAGGATGGTTGGCTTTTTTTATGCTTGCAATTTTAAAAACTGTCTAAATTCTTATTGTTTAAGTTTACTTTTTTTGTGCAGCTGGTGGTTTAGGCCATGGTGTGGCCCATGCTGTCTTTTTTTGCCTTAGCCTTCTAACTCCAGCATTCGGTGGGGCAACCTACTATGTGGAGAGGTGCTCGCATATGCCATTTTTTCTTATTTCTGGTGAGCTACAGTTTCTTTCCTTTATTATCATGACAAATCTATTCTGTTCTATAATATGTTAAGCCATGAAACACATCATGCTATCATTCTCTTTTAACTTGCATTACTTAGGCGAAAAATTATCTGTAAGCATGGTTGAAAGTTGAATTAGATTGAGTGCTTGCTAGTGTTATATCCTGAGTGCAGAGTTGATCACGAATCTTGATTGTGAAAGGTACCAGCTTAATGTTGCATTCTAGATGTTGTCAACGTCCAAATCCATTTTAAGAAATGCAGCTCATTTTTTTCTTTTGTCATGAGTTGCATGCTAGAAATTGTATGGTGAAGAATGGCAACCTAAATATCTGGCCTTGTATCGATTGTTGACCGAATTATGCCACTCAGATTATTTAGCGGTGTTAGTATTGGATACTTTCAAATATCATATGAAAATGATGCAGCTGTTTCAAATTAACACTTTAGTTGAAGATTATGGGTTGCACTTAGACTTGGTTTATTGTTTCTTGTTCGCATTTTATTGACATCCTGATTTGGTTGAGAGGTAGCTGTGCAGTTAGTTAAATTCCATCTCTTTTTTTCATTATATCTAAGATTACAGTAAAAATAATCTTACTTCTCACGCTGCTTCCTTTCATCATGGCCCATTGTACTCTTGCACTTGTTTGGACTTGACATATCATGATAGGGGAATTAGCTCAAACTATAACTTATTTTCTTTCTTAATGAATGATTTAAGTGTTTCTCAAGTACTACTAACATTTATTGGCATGTGGGTTCTATGCCAACCATCAGCATATGTATGTTGATAAGTGCGAGGGCTGTGTGCCCAAGCAAGTTCACTTAACAGAAATAATCTCTTTATTTCTAGTATATGGATCACTGAATATGATATGGGTAAATATCATCTCCTCAAAATGTTGTATTCATGGCATTTTGCTTGGAATAAGCTTTCTAGGTGACAAAGAGGTGTTGGCCCTTAAATTTTTTAGTTGCTTTAGAATTGCATGCTCGATTTCTAATGAATGAGACATTTATGACCTTATAACTAATCCGCTTCCTTTATTGTGCAGCTATTATTTCTCTTGCATTTTTGCTGATACATACTTTTTCCATGGTCATTGCTTTCAACGGATATGCAGAAAGTCGGAAATCTGATCAATTTTTTGTTCCTGTTATTCATATGGTTGCTGCTATAATGGTGAGTACCGATCCTTGAAAGAATTCAATTGATTCATTATGTTGCTTAGTTGAATTTTGAAGTTATTTGAAAATTATCCGTATCTGAAGAAACATCGATCATTCTGAAAATCATTTCACCACCAAGACATGCTATTTTAGCACTTGTTTGACATTATTTAAATTGGTTCATGAGACTGCAAAATCATTGATGTAGGACTACAATGCATACAATAACTTGAAAAGAACTTACACGACTTATTGATTCGAATAATAATAATTAGAACTATTAGCAAATAAAACGACAAAATAAAACGTAAGAGCGGTCACTTCTGTTTAGGCTAAGTTGCACAATAAGAGCTTTGAATCATCAAAATAACTTAGGAAATCAACAACATGCAAATATAATAACTTTCAACGAAAAATCACTATTCTAACAATAAGATTAGAAACACATGAAGTGCGCTCAATCCCTACCTTTACTAAGCTCGGTAGAGTTAGGCGATCACGATCTTCATGACTAAAATTAAATCACAAGAAAGAGGTTTAGACTAAGGAAATACAAGAGGAAGATTGATAAACATTCGTCAAGGCTTGGACGTAATCCTCCACTGTACGATACCAAGTTGCTCTTCAATAGCCTCGACCAAGGTGTCCAGGATGCGCTCTACGTACTCTTCTACTGTGTGGTCGATGCGCGGGTTGATGTCGAAAAAGGTAGAGTGCAGGATGCAAACAAATCCTTGCTCGTCGTAGGCGAGGCTGTAATCAAGATCTGAATCGGTCATTCATGAATGCTAGATGACAGTCGTTTCCAAAGATCACTAGCAACCTATGAAACTCCGTTTGAGAGCAGGAAGTTTCTCTTGACTTGAGGTGGAGATGAAGATGGTGTGGCCTGCCAAGGGGAGAAGGGTTTATGAGAGGAGAAGTAGGTTAAGAGGGGAAGAACTAATTAAAAATCTGAAATAATTTCAGATTTCTAATTGGGAGGGAATTAGGAATCAAGTTTGAATTTAATTCCTAAAGGGGAAAGAGGTGTTAATATAGAGAGAGGGGATTGGAGAGAGAGAGAGAGAGAGGGGGCAGTTAGAGAGAGGGGGAGGATTAATTTAATTCCAAAAGGAGAAGTACCCTTTTTGGAAAGAAATTAAATTAATGGGAGCATGGGGGATTTCGGCCAAGAGAGGAATTATGGGTTTTGGAAATATTTCGAAGGTAGGGAATTGGAATTAGGAGAGAATTCCAATTCCAATCTCATAGGGGGGTCGGTGGCAATAAGGAGGGGTTTAGGAGAGAATTCCAATTCCTTCCTAATTTATTCAATATCAATTAGGAAATAATTAAAGACCAAAAGGAAGGGGGGGGGGGGGGGGGCGACTAATGGG